TGAGAAAATCTCAAAGGGATGACTTAAAAATTTCAAATATATAATATCTTCAACAAAGAATGTAATTTTTTGTGTTTTAGAATTTAACCTTTATTTTATTTATTTTTATATGTTGCTGAGGCTCAAACCCTGTATCTCACCTGTGCTCGAAGAGCACTCTAGCACTGAGCTACAACCCCACCCCAAGAATGTAAATTTTTAGAGAGGTGACAAAACAAAGGAAAAGGAGTTTGAATCTGTAGGAGAGGCAAATTGTAGGAAGTCAAATAAACAGGAGTGTTTTGTAGATTAATCTAGTGTCATCTCCAGGCAGAAGAGGGTTTAAAATTATAAATACCTTTTGAAATTTATATCCTGCTTTTAGGCAAATGGGTGAGAGCTGAGAGTTTTTCTTTTATCTGCTGCTTTTCCATTGCCTTCAGGTCAAAATAATCCCTGAGCAAATGAATCATAATTCTGGGTGTCATATCCTGGTTTCTTACACATAGTACTATATAGATAAAACTACAATAAATCTCCCCTTTGCTTTCACTTATTTTCATAGTACCTAGCCAAACATGTTTTATTATTATAATGGAGTAAATCCCAATCACTACATCATTTTATTCATAAATAGTTCAATAAATGTATCTACAACACTCACTTTTTTGACATGGCCAAGGATACCATTACAACTAAAATATTGTAAGTATTTTTCTTAATGCCACCAAATATCCACACAGTGTTAAATTCCTTGAATGTCTCATGGCTGTTTATGTTTTTTCTCCCATTCATTTTAAGTGTCTTTGTTTGAATCAAGATCTAAATCAAATTCATCTATTGTGATTGTTGGCAGGATATGTCTTTTAAGACTTCCTCTCTCCAAATATTTTTCAACTAAATTCTAAGCTTCTAAAATAAAGGTATTGTTCATCTTGTTTTCTAGAGGAGGAAACTGGAACTCAGAGATTTAGTAAACCTGCCTGAGGCCTAATAGCTCATAAGGACAGTGACAATTAAAATTAGGCATACCCACTTCTATTGATCTCTCACTGAATCATGTTGCTGCCCTCCCATTGTTCCCACTTTTGTTTTTTTAAAACATTTATTTTTTAGTTATAGGTGGACACAATACCTTTATTTTATTTTTTTATGTGGTGCTGAGGATTAAACCCCAGTGCCTCACGCATGCCAGGTAAGAGCTTTACCTCTGAGCCACAACTACAGCCCTCCAATTTTATTTTTGCTTTCTTTGTTTAACCCTTTGTATTTCTTGCCTAAATATTGGTTCTAAAATATTTAAGGCCCTCTTGTGCTCATTTTGAAAGGCGACACTTTAAAATATAGACTCTTAGGGACTCAGACACCTTGCAAAAATAATGCATCCCTTCCAATAATATGTTACAGAATGAAGGAAAAAATTTCTTGCTTGCTTATTTGACCACCCAAGGATATATGTGGATATAAAGATAATCTGGGACCTTCTTAATCAGGACCTCCTGTCTGACTGATGTAAAATTTCCCCCACCCTATGATAGGGCTCTATTTAAACTTTACCTTTGTCTACCCATTTAGAGCCTATGTTGCTTATGAAAACCCACATGAAAGTTCTTATAGTATACAGATTTTCCTTGTAACATAAAGATTCATCATGTTTTTAAGAGCTCTTAAAATTTAGTACTATTGTATGCTTGTGTTTTAGATTGGAGAATTAATATATATTGTGGAAGGAAAAGGATTGATCCCCTTGCCTTCCAATTTTCTTCCAATGAAGCTTTCAACTACCATTAACTGTAGCAGTCCTCTAGAAGAAGGTATAGTATGCATGTTTCTGATTTTTTCATTTATAATATTGAAATGGGACTATTCATCCTTCAGTCATGTAAGCATCCTCTCATAGCAAGTTTCTTTGGTATGTAATTTGATCTTGAAAGGCTTCCTTTTAACTTTATTATGTTAGCATCCATGAAATAGAGCACCATTTACCAATTTAAAAGTATCAGTGATGATTTATCATGAGGAGGCCAGCATTTTGCCAGGGTAATGCTTCCTGCTCAGGAAGGGGATAAGCCACCTGAGAAAAATAAAGTCTGAAGTAATTAGTGAAGAAATAAGAGACAAGGTTAGATTTTGAAGTAGAGCGTCTGATAGATTCTTCCAGGCCTGGTAGGAGCTGGAACAGAACAGTTAAAAGTGGCTCAGATTCTTTATTTAAGGGAGAGCATCAAAGGAAGGGATAAGGTTTCAGGGGGTAGAGTCTTACTTCATGGTGTCTTATAGTCAACAGGTTGACTGGCATCTTGATAAGCCACACCCATCTCTGAGAGGCTGTGTTGCTATGCGGCTGCAGCAGGTCACCCCATCTCCAGAGCTGTGCAGGACCTTTGGCAGAGCTGGTGGGAGTTCACATGTATTTGGGCCATCTCATCAGCAGGAGTGCTGCTGTGAATTCCCAATACCAGAGTTTCCCACTCATTGGCTTCCATGCAAATCTGGTCTACACACAGTTCACAGATGTATCTCAACCGTGATTATTTTCAAAGGCTCTTTTTCAGTCTTCAGATAAATATTAGAATTTAACATACAAAATATTACTCAACAAACTCTCCATTTCTCAAATAATTTGGAAATCACTGTACTCTCAAAAATTCGTGTACTGTTATATAAGCTGGAATTCTACCTTACTCTGCAGCTCTTGATCATTAACTCTGAAAAAATTAAGGACTTAGATGTAAGGTTGTTAATGAAATAAAATGACTTTTCTTGCCAGTCCTCAAGTGTGTGTGTGCATGTGTGCATGTGTGCGCGCGCGTGTGTGTGTTTGTGTTTGTGTGTAATATTTATTTTTGCTCTCCCTACCTACTTAATACCAATAAGAGCATGAAGGTTACCAAATTTTTGAGTATATTAATGTTTTTATGAAAGAATGATTTGACTAGACCTTTTTTTGATGAATATAATAAATTATCTTTAATTCTCAAATACTTTCTCTTGAAGCTCTAAATTATTCCTAATAGAAATGTGTTACCTATTATTTTTACTCTGTTTAATGAAGACCATAACTGTAGTTTCGTATAGTTTAATTTTTTTTTTTTTAATACGAAAGTCCATCACAAGTCCATCCTGGATAACAGTGTCAAAAGCACCAATGTTCATTGCATTAATTAATATTTTTTATTTCCTTAGATTATAATAGGGAAGATCCAGTTCTATATTTGAAATGTGAACTCCGTCAAATCCTAGATGTGGACCTTAAATTGCCACTGACTAATGAAGCCAAGGAAAAGGCTTTGGCTTTTGCAGCACAACAACAGATGTCAACTATTGAGTATGAGCGAAGGTTGATCACAGGCACTCTGGAGAGCAGTAGCGTCCGTGTGGCCATCGCCCTCCTGGGGCTGACTAAAATTGAGGTAGTTACTAACTCTTAAAATATGCCGAGCTGTTGCGTTTTTACACAGTAGCATTTTAAAGCTCATTAAGTAATATATTTTAATAAAACCATTGTAAGGTATCATTTTGTACATTGTAGTCTTTAATTCAAGTACTTGTCAATTCTGGCTGGATTTATTAGACTGCTTTGGAGAACTTTAAATAGCACCAGCATCTAGGCCCCACTCCAGAACAATTAAATACAAATTTCTGGAAGGGGATAAATGGAGACATGTTCTACAAGTTGCCAAGGATATTATGCTGCACATCCAAAGAGGATCATGTCTGATGTTAGTTTACCAGGCTGAGAATTACACTGCCAGCTCTGTAACCATGGCCTGGTTACCTAAATCTCCTCAAACCTCCATTTTTATATTTTTTAATATAGAGATGTTGGTAATTTATGAAAACTGAGGTGTATATGTGAAATACTTAGTATATTACCTGATATATAGTAAGTGTTCTCTTTATGAATACTGTTGTGATGATTATGATTATTATCACTATTGGTACTATTATTACAGACTCTATTCTTATAGCTTGAAATATGGTACAATCTATTTTTATGATTGAAATAAGGTTTAATCTGTTCTCAAGGGCAAGCCAAAGAGATTCTTCTAAATACAAACCTCCTCATGTTGCTCCTCTCTGACATTATAGCTCCTGTCAGATAGAAGCCAACATCCTCAGGATGGTCTATATGATCCTCCTGGTCAGTCTTGCCTTCTCTGATCTCAACTCCTCCAGTGGAGCACATTGACCCAGGGTCACTCCTTCAGCACAGGCCTCCTTGCTCCAAACTCATGAGGCATGCTCCCTGTAGCTTTTGAATTTCCTCTGTTACTTTTCCCTAGATATCAGAGAACAGCCTCCCTCTATTACTTCTGGTCTCTATTAAAATGAATGAGATTCTGCTTTAACAAATTATATACACTTATATATTTTTCATCCTTGTTGTTTAAGCTTTATGCCTACATTTACATATATTTAAATAGAATACTTGACATTGTATTGATGATTTATTTGTCAGAATGCCAGAATCAATGCAGGCTAACCACAGATTTCTAACAATTAATGATGATTTTTAAAGATGACCTATATTTTAAGGTCTGATAGGCTCAGAAGTATTAAAGACTGAGGCTTTGACATTCTCTTGACTAACCTATCTGTACTATGTTTTGAAGAATCTGATCATTTTCTTCAGCTTAAACCAAAATGTTTACTTCTATATAACAGTGAATTGAGGAAGACTTATTTAGTTATCAGTACATTATTAGAATAAATCTTTTTAAAGACTGACCATTTCCAACTTTCAGCCTATCATAGTGCTCTGTGTCTTTCTCCCTTTTTATCTATTTTTTATTTATTTATTTTTCATTATTAATTCTTCTGAAAGCCATTTATTTAAATAAAAAATGGTTTAGGGAAGTGGATTTTGACCATGACATCCCTTTCCATTTATATATATATATATATATATATATATATATATATATATAGAGAGAGAGAGAGAGAGAGAGAGAGAGAGAGAGTTCTATCTTCTCCTTCCTTTCTTTTTCCCTAAAACCCAGTAAAGTTTTTATATTTATAATTGCATTTAATAAATTATTCTACATATTAGATTTGCTTTTATTTTTCCTCTTTCTCCTGTCAGATTATGAACTCCTAGAAATGTGAAGAACTTTTCTCATGTATTTTTGGCTATCCTTTGACATGTACAGCATGATATGTATCCTGTTGATTTTTAACTTAATTAAAAGTATCACTTGTAACCTACTTCACTTACATTGTGAGAGCTGGGTTTATCTTCACTCTTGTATTTTAAGAAAGAAAATACTGTGTCTAGAGAAGTATATGCATGAAAGTGAATTGAAGTAATCCACATTATATGAGTAAAAGTTGAAGGAACTAAAAATATCAAACCTATATATAAAGAATATTTGCATATCTGTAGAGAAGGTGGAGCTAAATATTTTCATATAATCACAAAATGATCATTAGTGAAAGAGGAGGACTGAGTCTCTACTGCTAATAAGAACTATATATGATGGATAGATGTGAAACAGCATAGTTTCTAACTCAAGGAGGGAAGTACTTTTTCATTGCTATTCACTTTTAGAATGGTTTCCTCCCCAGGCAAATAATTCCTCAACACTAAAAGCATTAGAGCAGGGCTGGGGTTGTGGCTCAGCAGTAGAGCATTCACCTAGCACGTGCAAGGCCCATTGGATCCTCAGCACCACATAAAAATAAATAAATAAATAAATAAATAACTATTACAACTAAAAAATAAATATTTTTTTTTAAAAGCATTAGAGCAGGGGACCTTGACCATATCTCAGTAAAGGATAAGTACATTGGTTCTGTGAAATGTGTTAGTGCTGCCTTCCATCAATTACATAATAATATCTCTAAAGAAATAAAAATTCTGCCCTTTGCTTTGTTTTTCCCCAAATTTATTATCTAAATACATAATACTATTTTTTGTGTTTTGAAGGTAAAATTTAAGAGACTTAATTCCAACTTTCCCATTTATTTGCAGTCTCTTATGCTGTTTAATATGTCAAGGTTGAAGAAGCCTAAGTCCATTTTATATAGAACAGAACTGAGCCTTCCAGAACATTTTGATATCCCCAGGAAAATCTACATACCTCAGATTTCAGAAACTCAAGCTAAATTGACTCAGCCTAAAGGATTTAAAACTTCAGATACAACAGGTAATCAACAATATCTTGAGTGGATTATCTAGCACTGTTCCAGGAATATTAATAGCAAGAACATATGAAAAGTGAATCATGTGTCATTTATGTGTAATTTATATTTGATCCAAACCATGGTCTTTATTACTTAAGTATTTACTATTTGTTTCCAGGTGCCCTTTTATTCTGTTGTGGTGATCAAGAATGTATAAGCCAGATTTATTATCAATATTGATACATTGACATGATTCGTTGCAAGTGATAAGATGTAAAAAATGATACTAAATATGTTTAACTATTTAAAATTTCCTGTAATTTTAGTTTCTTTCAAGTTGCTAGATAATAATAAGAACATAATTTCTTACCAGGGCTAATACTAGAATAACTCTAGTATTATGGGTTCCAAGTTACATTTTTGCTAAAGTTGGTTGCATTACAGTTTTATTTGGGGTGGGGGTTCAGTAGGAGCATGTGGGAGGCCATAAGTTCAATTCTTAGCATTCAAAAAGACACATTTTATTTGTTACTCTGTGCATTTATGCTGACTGTAAAATATCTCTACGTCTGAAAGGGTGGTTATAAGTTGTAAATTATAAGATAATCTGTTCACTTTACCTTCCTAGGAGAACTGAGATCCCAAATGCAAACGCCAAGTAGCCAAGCAGGTAATGATAATTTAAGGGTTATGTTTGGTCTAAGGCAATAGGAATGATGAATTCTATGTTGACTAGAGTATAGATGCCTTGTCTAAACATTCAAATTCAAAAAATAAAAATAAAATCCTGAGTCAGCCACACAGCTGTAAGGGCAAATTTGTCTTCCCAATAGTTTTAAACCACTCATCATATGTTACATTTTTATCTTTAATAACTCCAACTTTTCAATGTGCTATTAGAATTTTAAATGAGTAACTTATTTTCATAACTTTTAAATCCCCTTTGAGAGAACTAGATAAATCTGAGACTATTTTAAAATACAACTAAAATTGTCAATCTAAGCCATTTATTTATTCAGCCACTAATTGAATGATACTATTGAACATTAATTCCCTTGGGAAAAATTATCAAAATTTTCAAGTTCTTCCCTTTGAAGGACTCATTGATAAGAAACTGTTGTGAGTAAATAACAAAAAATTAGGACTACAATATGGATTGCAGGTATGCATGCAAAAGAGAAAAAGCTTCAAGCAGTATGCTCAGGTATATAAGATGAGAGGAAGTATATACCTCCTACCATGTGAAATGATAAAAATTATCATTTGTTTTTGCTTGGATCCATCTGGAATGATTTCCATCTTTGTAATTTAAGAGTGGAGAGGATTGGGGGCACCTGTTGGTACAAATACTACAGACTCATTCTTTTAAATCAAGTTTTCATGTATTTCCTTGAATAAATGAAGGACCATTAACTATATTCCTTTAATATACAGAAACATCAAAAGTGTCCTTATTTAGATTTTATTTTTTATAATATCTCCACTTTGCTGGGAAGTGTGGCATGGGCATCTTCATGCTGTAATGTTGGAAGTGAAACTACTTCTTATTCTTTTTACCATATCTTTTATAACTGTGATGATTCTCTCAGAAACTATGGATAGAATTTTTGGTTATTTCTATAGAATGATATAGAACACACTTACGAATTCTTTTAGTCATAGTGATTTAATGGCTAAAATTTTGAGGATATTTTAATAACCATAGAAGATACATCAATAATATCAATACTTATGCAATTTAGTTTTTTCCCCCCTATTATAGTTCACTAGAGCCAGCATGCCATAATTTGACTGGAAATTCTTAAGTTTTCTCAATCTTTTATAATTCAGTTTGTACCTATTGAAATTTACCTGGAATTATTTATGAAGCCATTGTTATGGTTTGGATATGAGGTGTCCCCCAAAAGCTCATGTGTGAAGCAATGCAAGAAGATTCAGAGGAGAAATGATTGGGTTGTGAGAGTCTTAACCCAATTAGTGAATTAATCCCCTGATGTGATTAACCAAGTGGCTGGAGATGTGGCTGGAGGAGGTGGGCATTGGGAGGCATGGCTTCAGGGTATATATTTTGTATCTGGTGAGTGGAGTGTCTCTGCTTTCTGATCATCATGTGAGCTGCTTCCCCCTGCCACACTCTTCTGCCATGATATTCAGCCTTACCTGGAGCCCTGGGGAATGGAGCTGGCTGTCTATGGACTGAGACCTCTGAAATCATGAGCCCCCAAATAAACTTTTCCTCCTCTACAATTGTTCTGGTGGGATATTTTAGTCACTGCAGCAAAAAAGCTGACTAAAACAATCATAAATGTAGAAATCCTAATATATCAAGGTTATGAGGCCATTATGGACCCTCAGAAATTACCTTGTGCTATGTTTGAGAGTATGTGTGGACACGTACATTTAATATTTTGGGAGGCAAGCTCAAATATTATGAAATATTCAGTTTATAAAGCTTTTCTGTTCAAAACTAGAGAAAATCCTTTAGGACTCCATCTACTAATATCCTCTATCCCCTGTTGTATCCTCAGCAGTGATTCATAAAGCAGACTCTCATAGGGTCAGAGTTCCAATGAACATACTTTGAAAGCCTTTGATCTAGTTCAACCTCTATGTTTCAGAGAGATTAAATATCCAGAACATATATCTAAGATATTAGATGATGAGATATTTCATTCAACGAATATTTATTGAGAGTTTAATACGTACAGGTGATGTTCAGGAACCAGAGATAAAGAAGTGAACACAGTAAAGAAGGCTTTCGCCTTTTGAGAACTTTGATAAAAAAGGTATTTCCAATGTTCATCTTTGAGTCATATACTTTGGCATTTTCAGTATCAGTTTCTACTCTTCTGTGGTTTAGTCTCACTCCATCTATGTCATTAGCCAATGAATTTTATTGACAGTAAACCATAGAGAGAGAAATTTGATTAGTCATATGAGAATTCACCCAATTTTGACTTTGGGAATATTATTTCAATAAAAAGGCTTTGCTACTCTGGTTTTCAAGCCAAAATGGTATCTCATAAATTATCATCTTGACATCTTAGATGTCTATATTTATCAATTGTCTCCATAATTTTCAGTCACTAATTTCTACCTACATAATTTCTGATTAACAATTTTTATATGATATTCTTTCATTTTTTGTTGATTTTTTTCTTCTAACACTTGAAGGTTTTAGTATAAGTCACCCTCTATGTTTTATTTTTAGGAAAATAAAATTGTTTTGCAATTTTATTTCATAAGCACATTTATATTTTCATACATAGATTCAAAAGGCATCTATTGATTGATTAGCTTATTAAATTATTTTCACTTGACAGTCTTATAGGCTATGGGACAAATTGTTTCAGATAAAACAATTCTCATAACACCTTGTTATTATTATTATTATTATTATTTACACAAAAAACTTCATATCTTTTTTCCTTTCCTTACTTTCAAATGAGTTTAGGAATTAACACTTAGATGTTTGCATTTTAGCTAGGACTGGCTAAACAAACTTGCAAGCAACCTTGAATAATCAACAGATTTAAAATAGGCAGAACATAGAGTTAAAAATCCTTACATGTCAAATCTAAACTACAGTTTAAGAATTATCTTAAATGTATTTATAAGAAAAATTTTAATGAGGCACACAGATCAAACAAACTAATAAACGAGGTGTGCAGAACTAAAAGTGAACACACCAGAAAAAAGCCATAAGATATTACCATGATCTCAATTTTGTTAAAAAGTGCCAGAGAAACTCCTCCCAGCAATAGGGATACAGCTTCAAGAAATCTCTTCAAAACAATTCCTCAGAATTCTGGGGAAAGTTTACCTTGATGTGTTTGAACTAAATTCTGCCCAAGCTATCTTTAGGATCTATTTTTGTAAGAGGCTTATCTGGTGGGCCAGAACAAGAATTGGTGCTCAGGAAATGTTTTGGGTCAATAATATGCTGCTTATGGGGATTTCTTGCCAGAGAGTCGCCAATGAACTGAACATCGCCTTTCATATGTCTCAAAAAACCCTAAACATTAAGGGGTGTGGGGCATCTCAGAATATAATGAGATTGATCACTCCCTTCTGTGTAACTCTGGGTTTAGCTGCTAGAGGTCCCCAAACCCAGTTCTTCTGAGGTGGTTCCCTCTAAAATCACCTCACATCATGGGTGTGTTACCATGTAAGCTCTGTCAAGACTTTTTATTCACCTAGAGGTGCCCAGATTGAGCCAGAGGGAGCATTCGTCTGTTTTCTCTGTACGCCAAAAGATCTTCATATAGAAAAATTTCAAATGGATAATGCCACAGCCACCAAATATCTTAGTCTATCAAGTCAATTATCACAAACACAAACTAATAAAACAGAGACTAACAAACACACTAATAAGCAAAAGGATACATAAAACAATGAACAATTACATTAAACCAGAGTGTATTTTCATACCATACCAGACCAGTCCAGGTGACTGAACTATTCCATGACTCCCCAAAAGATTATTTCACCCTGTTTGTAGAACTAATTTTCTGTGTTAGCTAGCTTTTTGTTGCTAATAAAATACTTAAGAAAATCAGCTTCGAGGAGGAAACATTTATTTTGTCTCACAGTTTCAGAGGTTTCAATCCATGTCCACTTGGCTCTGTTGTTTCTGGACCTGTGATGAGATAGTATATCCTGGTGAAATGGCATGGCAGAACAAATCTTCTCACATAATGGTGGTAGCCAGGAGGGAGGGGGAGAGGGAATGCGGGGGAGTGAGAGAGGGAGGGATAGGGGGAGAAGGAAAGAAAGGAAGAGACTAAGGACTAGATACTAGATAATCCCTTCCAGGGCATGGTCCCTGTGACCTACTACCTCCAACTAGGACCCGCCTCTTACAGTTTCCACCATATCTCAATAGTCCATACAATTATGAATCTGTCAATGGATTAATCCACTGATGAGGTTAGAGACCTCATAATCCAAGAAATTCTCAAAAGTCTCACTTCAAAACATTGCTGCATTAGGGACTAAGCCTTCAGCACATGAGTCTTTTCGA